ATTCGATTTTTATTCTCTCTCTCTCTCTCTCTCTCTCGCTGTTTTGTTTTCATATGATGCTAAGATGAAATGAAAAGGTGGCGGCATTACCTTTTTTCCGTCAATCGCGTCATTTGTAGACGTTTTGTCCAAAAATCAAATCAGTGAAAAATTGATCGATTTCCAATCATATTTTCATGCTATTGAAAATACTTGACATGCTTGCGCATAATGAATATCATTGTGGCGCAATGATTCCACTCAAAGAGGCAACAAAATATGGAAAGATGTGTGCTGACAACAAAGCGACTTTGCCGTCGCACGGTCGACTATAACCAGGTTGAACGAGTCAATGCAATCGACGTTTGCTGACAATAACAACAAAAAATCACTTGAATGAATTACTGCATTCATTGCACATATCCATCTCACGTTTTTGGTCCGCCTCAAAATCACATGTAATCATTTTCCATGGAATATAACCAAATGAAATTATAATCGCTTAAAGATCAAATGTTTTCGATATTGTTTGTTTTGTTTAAGGTGTTTTGTTTTCTCTTTCTCTGTCTCGCGCGCGCTTTCTGTTTCTGTCCATCAAATTTGTGATTGACTCGTTTTAAAAACACTCTTCCAGCACAAGCACAAGCTCAGTGTAACTAAAGCACTTCATAAATAATTCATTTCATTCTTTTTTATCGTCATTTTATTATTATTGGTCGAACATGGTAATGATTACCATTGTACGCATTGTCTGTTTTTCTCTTCGACTTTAATCGTTAATGTTGCACCTCAATTGTCACTGTCTTTGTCATTGCCCAAACAATGACTTAACAAATTATTGAATTAAATATATTTCCTTACAAATCATTTCGTTCATTCCGCCCCAATAATGAATGTCATTGGTGGAAATAATAAATTGCCGCTTCGGTTGAAATGAATGCATATTTTCACGGCGGATTCCATAACAACAATGCTTGCTCATTATTTGTTTAGAAAAGGCCTTAAACGTTATCGCAATTGATCTCTGTGTTGTTGTTCTTATTTTAGTTCGTTCTCAGGAATGAACAGTGCGCGCACTGTTTTGAACTGCCGATGTGCGTTGATTTGTTATGATTCATTGGATTGTTTGTTATGATTTCGTCCAATGAGATTCAAGTGTGTCGGTAAAACTAGGTTCAAAGTTGATGGTGAGAGAAAAAAAATTGACTTCCCAGAAATGCCATATCAACAGAGACCTGAGAGTGTGGAAATGTTTGAGAAATCGCTCATTAATTTGTCATTTCGAAAAAAAGAAATAGTGTTAACGAGCGAACAGTGTTTATTGGTTTTTTATCACGCGATAAGGAATTCGAATTAGGTGCAATAATATGGTTTAGTTTTGCTTCAATAAAAGACGAACGAAATACATTTTCTGATGAATCAAAAAAAAAACTGAACAAATAATAACAACATGTGTTATTGCTGTAACGACACCTTTTTTTATATTAGATCCAGATAGTTTTGTCTTTATTTACCTTCATGTGGCTTCTAATCTTGTCTCAAATTCACTAAATCTAATTGAATGGCTCTACAATAAATGCGCAGTAACACTGGCGCTCTCGTGTACCAACCGAAATAATCACATCGAATCAACATCACAAAACAATCAATTCAAACAGAACATGACATTGCTATGTGACAATTCATTTCAAGTTTGATCTACCGGAATCAATTCCCTTGGGTGTATTTCGACTGATAAAAACCACTAAACTTTTTGTTTTGATACTGAAACAACAAACAAGCTCAGAGTCAAAGAAGCAGAAAAAGTCATGATGGTTGATTTTAAAAATAGATCTTATGCATTTGTTTCTCATTTTAATTACAAGGCGGATCAATAGCAGAATAATCAGATTTCATGCAACTGTACTCTATAGCTCGGATTGCATATCGAGTGGAACAACTTAATTAGTTACACGATTGTTCGTTGACTTACCCAAGGTATCGGTGTATGACATGTGCTATGATATATGCAGTGGTATTAAGTTTCGAAAGCTTCTTTCAACGATTCGTTGACAACGATCGATGTGGGTGACAATTTTCACAGAACCCGTTCATTGTCTTCGGCGCGTGTGGCATTTTATTTTATTTTCAACAAATTTATTATTTCCCCATATTATTCGGCTTACTCACTCCAATGACCCATATCATGTCCAAAGTAGCTACACGATTCGTTGAATAATAATTGCAATTATACGAAAATATCAACGGTACGTTGGCTAAAAATAACATTTTAGCAGTTAAGCTAATTCGATGATCTTTAAAACATGAAATTTGGCTTGGTGAGGAATGAGAAGCAACTACAATGAGAAAAATACCGAGTATCATGACACATGCGATAATGAACACGTTTGTAAATTATATGTACACATTATCGTGTATGCTTATACAATAATTTAAACAATGAACGAGAAATGGCCGAGATAAAAGTTTCTTAACATACAACAACTGATATTTCTGGGTATTCGATAAAGTTCCTTCTGATTGAGCGAAAATATTTCTCATTCGTATCGCGTTGAGTTTTGATGTGTTTACCTCAAGGGGGTAGACATGATTCAAATGATTCGTTGTAATTCATTTGTGATTTGAACGATTTGAATCTATTTGACAAGTGACTTTACAATACTAAAACAAAGCATAAAATTCTATATCAATATTTGTTTTTTTTTAAGCAAGCAAAAACCTTTTTTTATTAAAAAAATCAAGTATATTTCGTTTATAGTTAAAACACATTTCGAAAATATTAAATCTCTTTGTATTTTTATTGACTTTAACTTGATATTTTTTTTTATTTAATATGTATGCAAACATCGATAGTCAACTTCACTGTAAAGTGTCACACCAACTGTCAAGCGGTGATTTGAAATGATTCGAAAAAATTCAAAATGATTAAAAATATTTATAATTTACTCGCAATAATTTAAAGAGATTTATTTTTTTTCGTATAGATTTGTTCTTTTGGATTGCGTGTCTACCCCCTAGGTTTACCTTTTGGTGGGAAATACAGTGAAACAATTCAGTGCCACTTTTGAGAGAGATGGCGTTTCTGTAATGTTTCATCAACGATTAATTTCGCGCTCCATTTTTTAACAGTTTCTTCGACATTATAACTTTACCACTCACAGAAAAATTTCCGGATATTTCAAACCCAGAAATCGGTTTAAATCACAGCGGAATGATTTCTGGGTTCAAAAGATCCGAAAATCCGAAAAACCGGATAACACTTAAATTTGAGACTTTCAATGAGACTTGAATCTGTATTTCAACGTTCAACTATCATTTTACGCATTTCTCTCACAGTTTATTTATATAAAGAAAACTGGAAAAATCTTCAAATCGATTTTTCTCGCTTTTCCGATGGGAAATCGAGAAAAATAACGAAAATTTGGTACCCCCATTGGGGCCCTATAAAGAGAATGGACCACGAGTGCTCAACTTCTAGAACATTTTGGGTCAGGTCAGATCCACCTATTCCACAAGATTCATGTCCAGATAATTTCTCCTCGCTCACTATCATACGATATCATATGGGAATATTATGAGAAGTGAACGGGATGATATTATGAGTAGTGGATCTTGTGGAGTAGGTGGATCCGACCTGACCCAAAATGGGTCAAGACCGACTTCCAGCTCATGTCATCCCGTTTACTTCTCATAATATTCCCATATGATATCGTATGAGAGTGAGCGAGGAGAAATGATCTGGACATGAATCTTGTGGAATAGGTGGATCCGACCTGACCCAAAAAGTTCTAGAAGTTGAGCACTCGTGGTCCATTCTCTTTATAGGGCCCCAATGGGGGTACCAAATTTCCGTTATTTTTCTCGATTTCCCATCGGAAAAGCGAGAAAAATCGATTTGAAGATTTTTCCAGTTTTCATGTTTAGTGAACGCTGAAATACAGATTCAAGTCTCACTGAAAGTCTCAAATTTAAGTCTTATCCGATTTTTCGGTTTTTCGGTTAATTTAAACCCAGAAATCATTCCGCTGTGATTTAAACCGATTTCTGGGTTCAAAATATCCGGATTTTTTTCTGTGAGCATACATTATACTAACCTTTCGTTGAAGACAACTTTGAGTGATTTTTTGCTTACATACATTTCATCCGAGAAGAAAGGGTATTTTCCAAAGAGAAACTTGTGTTTTTTTTTTATTTTTATTTAAATTAATTAATTTTCTGGATATTTATTTGAATACATATATTCTTATAAAATGGGTTAAGATTGAATTCATTTGATAATAATCGACATGTTACAATGTTATTATGGTCTTAATAGTGAATAAAGAGAAAAAAAATTCAATAAATTGTTGTCCAAAAACATTTTGAATGTATAAAATTTTGAGCGGATAATTTCGCTATATTCTAATCAAATCGCGGAAGCTTAAAATTAAATTCGTTTATGCTACATACACTAAGATCGCTTGTAATTAAATATTCAAATAAGATTATCTAAATCTTAGTACATAAATTATGATTTAAATTTCGATTTCATGTTCGTATTTTTTTTAGCGTTGCGTTTCAATATATTTGTCTTTTTGTTACTTGAATTTCTCCGAATCGTTTCTGCGGTAGACTAGAATCTATCCTAAGTACGACTTATGTGTATGAAATTTGAAAGAAGAAATGTTTTCATAAGCACAGCTATCGCTATCATTAATATAGTGTTCAGAGAATGGAATGTTCTTTCTTTTTGTTAAACACAAACAATTATGGTGGTTTAACAATTTTCGTCGTTTTCTTAAACTGCAAAGTGATAAAACTGAAGAGATTTAAAAAAATGATGTGAAAAACCTCGGAACTCAGAACTGGGATCAATTTGTCAAGCTATTTTGTTTTAAAAGTTAATTATAAATGAATCTTAGGTATACACACACATACGAAACTGGGATATTTTATGGAAAATTTTCATTGTGCGTTTCAAAATCAATTGCTTCCAAATCCTCATTCAATTTTCATTTAATTTCATTTAATTAAATCAATTGAATGCATCGATTGGTCAATGAGATTTTTTTCTATTCAAATTGAATAAAAAAAAATTGGTTGAAAAGTTAGATTTAGATGAATAAATTTAACTTTTGCGTGATATTACATCAGGTTTTTGGATTGAGAAGCAAATTGATTTATGCACGCATTAAATGCATAACGTCCTGGCCTATAAAACTTAAATCAATCAATTTATTGCATTTTCATTTGTTTAAGCAATCCAAATTTTGATATAACGAAGCTGAAGATCATTTCGAATAGAATTTGATGATTTGCACATTGTGTAGACTATTTTGATATATCCGGAGGTGTGATATAGAGTATTGAATAGTTTCCTGAATAGAACTGATTTTTTGGATTTTGACGAGACTCCCTTCGATAGCGTTTTTTTTTTCATTCACGATAATTTAAGAATATGCGGTGTGCAGTAGACATAACTGGTTGTGTATTTATTATAATAGTCATTAGCAGAACCTTTCGAAGTGGAACCAATTCAAGAATACATTCGTACGTACAGAAATTGAAGCGGTTTTTTTTTATATGATTATTTATGCCGAGGAAAAATAATAAAAAAAAATGTTTTGTATATTTGAGGTGAAGCGAATAAATATGTTGGCTCTTCGTAATTTGCGCGTTTTAATAAGCTCATCTAACAGTAGAGGTGTGATGCTCTGTAAAAAGAAAACAACAAATCCAAAAAGAAAAGAAAAGAAAAGAAAAAGTCATAATGAATCGCCGAATTTTGATATGAGAATTTTTTGTTTGTTTTTTTTTTTCTGTCATTTTCTTTTTCAAGAGACGTGAACACTAATTAATTTCATTAGAAAATGTGAGATCCAGTTTATTTCACAAATTTTTGTTGGTTAGTAATTTTTACCCAAAAAAAGTAGTGAATTGTGAATGAATTTGGTTGGATTTGTGAGAATTAGAAGTGATTATTAGAAAATTTGTGTGAGAATACCAAAAAGAACAAAACGATGATGTTTTGAATTGAAATCAAATCAAGATCATATCAAAAGTGCAAATGTTGGTGCAAAAATTTTGTTGTGAGCTCCCTTGTTATACCCTGTTTTCGTTTGCTGAGATTGCTTGGTTAATGCATTTCATTATTAGTAGTGTTTTTGTTTAGATTGATTATTACGGCTTAATATCTTGAGAGTAAAATACGGTTTCTTAATCATATTAAAAAAAAGAGAATAAAAAAAGAGATAAATTGTATGGAATTAGTTGACTAACTGTATATTCAGAGTGCGCTTAAGTGCTACTATTGTTATCATTTCTGCATGTTGTGTGTATACGTTATAAAATATCTATTTATTCATCACCTTAATTACAACGTATAAGGTTCCGATTATTAATATTTTTGTTGTCTTGGTACATGAAAGTTCTATTTTCATAAATTGTGGCAACACTAACTAACGTTCTTCAATTGATAAATTATTGGTTTTTATTGGAAATTTTATTTTTGTGTGTGTGTGTTTGTTTTTTTGTTGTGGTTTAAAGTGAAAACTGTGTTGATTAATTAGGTTTAAATACGAAGACAACAGCCGCAATAATATGGACATCTAAAATACAAATCGCTGCTGCCTTTGATTTTGTCCCCTCACCATCAGTGTATTGCATTGCGCTTGCATGTTTATTGATTTTTGTGAATTTGTTTGCGATTTTTTTTTCTATTTTGTGTGTGTGTGTCTATCTATTAATGAGTTTATCGCCAAACACACTGACTACATCTACAAAGAAGAGAGAAAGAAAGCTTGTTTGGTGATGTTTACCTTAAATCCACTTAAGTATAAAATGTACTTCAAAATACCGATTTGTGTGAAGATGAAGCCAAGAGAAGAGAAAAAAAAGTCGTGTGTATGTAGGAAGATGTACCGCTGGTGCAAGAAACAGATTCGCATTTTTATTACGCCACGTTCATGCACCCGCTTCTTCACATGCATAGTTTTTTTCCTCTCTTTCCTGGTATCTCTTCAGTTTCTCATTGGTGTGTGTGTTTTTTTTCGTCGGTTTTATTAGTAAAAAACAAAAACAAAACTCGGTTAACATCTAATGATATCAATATGATCTCACCACACAATGATTTCAAGAATATAAAATAATGTGAATGGACATCATTTGACACGTTTTATGGTTTACAATTTGTGAACGAGGGAGAAGCTTGCGGCGCGACTGAATAAAAATTACAATAATTTTCAGACCAACGGAAAAAGGGAAAAAAACAGACCGAGTGAAAGAAAAACGAACGGCGAAAAAAGTGCACAATGTAAATTATGGATACAAGCGACACGAGCAAGTACTATGGCGCCTATCGTGAGGACTTTATCTCATCTTCGTTCATTTCATTTTCATTGTTTACAACAGAATTAATTTTTAATTTTTAATTAAACGGAACTCCATAGGAAGCTGGTTGTGATCAACCGAATGATATGCAAAAAATGTGTGTGTGTGTGCCTTTGTTTTGGTGTGCCGTATATTCATTTAATATTATTCAAACGAAAGAAGATATGAACACATAAAAAGAGAGGTGAGAGAAAACAGTACAAACTTCAAATGTTTTTCAACAGCGAATTATTGTTTATTGTGGCCGGTACAGATTTTATTTCATACACATCATGCAAATAAACAATAACAAATGTGGTCATCATGTATAGTTTTGGTGAAGAGTAAACCGCATGCATTTTATATGTTTTTTTTTTTCTTCATGAAAATGAAAAATTTGAAATGAATTGAATCGTCTGATCTTTTTTTGGCGACATGTCTTCTTTCTCTCGGATCTCAAATGGAGATGACCGAAAAAAAGGCGCAAACGCAAAAAAAACACGCACTTTTATTAAAGTCAATTGAACATATGATAATGACTTTTGTACCAGACACACTGTGCACATCTCTCGAAGCGAAAAAAACCGCATTTTTTGGTCTCTTTGCACACGACTTGCATCATGAGGTCTTTAGCGGTTTGCCGATGAATAAGTTATTGCCAATCATAAAATTGCAAATAAATGGTCGCGTTGACATAAAACAATCAGTATTACAAATGAATAACAATGTGTGTATTGCACATTATAAACTTTCGAACCACACGAAACCACGTCTCGATGTCTCATTCCATTCTTTTTTTAAACATTGTTTTGTCTTATTTTATTTTTTTGGGTGTGCGCATGTGTTGGTGTGTTATCGAAATTCGTTGAAATTATTTTTTTTTTTTTGGTGATTGAAAATGGTTTGAATAAGTGATATAAATGAAGTGATCAATGTTTTTTGATATTTACCTGTGCTGGCGGAAATTATCCGGACGTTTAAAATGTTTGCCGCACACTTCGCATGAGAAGGAAATCTCTGGACTTTTATGAGTGCGCTCATGGATCATTAGATTGTATGATTTTGTGAATCTTCGTTGGCAATATTTGCAAACATATTCGCATTTTGGGCGCATTTTGCGACGAAAATCGTCACTCTCAATTTTCAATACGGTGAACATTTTGAATAACTATTGTTTCCTTTTTTTCAAACTCGCTGACTCAACAGTTGATGACTGTTCCAGTATTTTCGGTACTCTTTCTTCCGAATTTGTTGTGCTTATTACCACAAATATTGGGCGGCTGTGTGTGAATCGCTCGAAATCAACGAAAATGAAGAGTTGAATTAAGCCGTAATGTAATGTTCTTTATGTATTCCGTCCGCTTTCTGGGTTCCTCAATAAACAAAACGATGATGTTTTAATATGATGTTGTTTTTTCTTTCTTTTTGGCTAAATGGAATTGACGCGACGTTTGACAATTGTTTCGCAGTCTGAAAAAAAAAACGAATAAATTTTAAAAAGTCCATAAAACTGACAAAACATTTAAGAAAATTTGTAAAAAAAATTTTTTTTAATCAAATTCTATGTTCTGTTTTTCGGTTTTCGTTCAAACCATCAATGGGCTTTAAATAAACGAAATTACATGATTTTGGTTTGGATTGTGTGTAGTATTTTTCGTGTCATTTTGTATGCGATGTCAAGTATAAGCGTTGAGTAAATCAAATTTTGACCAGATAACGAGATTTATGTCGAGAATGAACTCATACCATTTGAGCTCATGTAAATATTTAATGACTAGCAATAAAAATATTGACACTTATCGTGATCGTTTCGAATAGGGACCGTTGCGAGCGCATTGTGCGAACGTGTATTAGTCATTTGGAAAAATTTATCGTTTGTTCTGGCACACACTCGCACGTGATATGGATGAAATGATTGTTTCCCATTCGAAACAACTTGAATAGTGTTTATTCATTTGCTTTTTTTATCACAATTTTTTCGAATTTTATCTATGCTTTGAATTATGTGACAGCGGTGACGGTATTTTTCGTTCGTTTCGAAAAATTGTGAAAAGTACAAACACACACACACACATGGTATCGCTCGCCTAACAACGCATAATGCCTTTGTAATGGCGCTTTGAAGTCAATCCAATATAATCAGATTTTATCGGTCTCAATCACTTGCATCTGCCTCATTGACTATATTGATTCGGGAGAAACAAGGAACGGAAAAAATATAAACCAAAACATGCACTAGACGCCGACACATCGTAAAAATAAAATCCATTTCTCTACCTGAAGATCAAACGACAGTTTGTGGTTTGCAACGAAATCGATTTAGACACAATTATTACAATATCAGTAAAATCTTCAAAGGCTATAATTTTTCGGCACTTTCTTCTTTGATACTTGATACCTCGTTCAATTTCGACTGGTGTTGGTTTGAAATTCTTTGACGAATCCATTCCGATCACACCTTTCGAAATTCGGATAGGCAATCATTAAAATGTTTTTGGCTTCATATTGCTGCAAAAAAAAAACGGAAATATGAAACAATGGCAATTGTGCGTGCAATTGAAGCCGACATTGTCTTTTTCTATCTATCTTCCCTTTTATTCTCCTCAAATTGACCATTGCAAAACAAACATTCAATTGTTGAATGAGAGTGGAGAAGCACAGGGGGATGTTGTGTACAAGAGTATTGCTTGTCCGGCAATTACATCTTCTTCGCATTTTGCATTCGGCCCCGAACAAAGAGGCTCGGAGAATAAGAGATAAACAAGACACATTTATGAACCTACATCACGTTCACGCCTAATTGTTTGCCGTGTCAACGGGAGCTCTTTAAGACTCTTGATTTTTCGTATCAATAAGAGCCAAGCAACAACAACACATGAATTGGCAAACAAATGCACAACATTCGTCAATCTACAGAGAAAGGTATATTCTGCGTTGAAACAAAGTGTTTGGATGTGCGCTATTTTACTTCGTTTTTTCAAAAGGAAATTCATATAATTGTCCGTGTAGGTATTTTGGGATAGAAAGCGTTGACGAAACAAAAGAACTGCCAAACTGTAAGACATAATCCTTCGAACTAAAATGTTGCACACAACAGTCTCTTTTTTTTTGGCCGAATGCGATTGAGGTGAAACGCTGTGTGTCCGATTCTTTAAAAGCGATCGCTTTAATTCTCAATATTTCGTTTTCATCTCTTCCTTTGATAATCACATTAATGATAGATATTGTAGATATTGTTGGATTTTCCATCCGATCTCTCTCCTTCTCTCTCTGTTCGTTTTTTTTTTTTTGGATATTTGTTTCTTCGCCATTTCGGACCCGTATGGAATGTTTTAAAATTAGCGATCCAGCCGGATTTTGACACATTGATTATAGTAATAGATACGAGACGTAAAGAAAAGAAACATTTGACGATGCAGTTGAATCTTTTCTCCCGTCTTGTGTTTTACTTTCGCTATTTTTCCACGTTCAAAATGCGTTCTATCTGCCTGTGTATGCATTGGAATTCAAAAAATGCAACCAATTCGTGCGAAAACGATATATTCCAACTAAAATCGTTCAATCATTGGATGCGCATTACGATAGCGACAAATCATATTCGTACTTCAAATCGTCGGAAAGTTTCCAAGAATTTGGCTCATCGATCCACCCTTTTTCACATTAATTTCCAAATCAATTCGTTTCGATTGTGGAATTCTTTGTTTTATTTTAGAAATGTTCTGGATCCTGGTCGCCAATGAGTCAAATGGCAACAAAAATGGAATAAAAATCCAGTAGAATTTGCAATGGTATACATATACATCGGGTGAATATGAAGAACTATAACGAAAATACCAATCATATTTATGCTATCTATAACATTGATCTCGGCCAGTAAATTTGAATACGACACCATAACATATCGAAATAAGTTGAGGCGTGTGCGTGCGCGCGCTGAGGTTGCATATATTGAATTGGCCGTGCCTTTGACAAAATGATATAATATCACGAAATCAAAGAATGTGGTTACCCACTGATTCGAAAATGTCCCAAAACTGTAATGCTCTTTCTCTGTCGTTTGTACATTATTATTGGTACTGTGCGGCTGCGCTAGGCTCTCTATCTGTTAAGGCGCAGACACACACGATCACTTGTATCGAATTACACGGCATATATTGTTATTTGTTGACCGCACTATTCACTTCGGCGCATTCCAATGTCACTGTACCATTTTTATCTCTGTCTCGATGGCCTCACCGCGATCCAAACGATTTTTGAATCGACACGACCAAAGGAGCAAACGTGTGTATTTATTGTCACAGCAACATCATCGTTTTTCAACAACATAATCGGTATACAATAAAAGAACAACAGACCAAATCGAATAATCTATGTAACTAGCGCCTCATTTCGTGAATGACAAAACAAAGACGGGAAACACTGTTTTCTTTTTTTGTTGTTGTTGTCGTTGTTCTCGATTATGTCGAGAGTAGACGAAATCAATTCACCAAAATTCATTCAAATTTGAATGAAAAAAATAACAACAACGATTAATAAATCAAATTTTATTGCTAATAAAAGTGGATACATATATATTCGTATTTATATGTGGATGTTGTTTTGGGAGCAATAAATATTTATGATATTCAGAGAATATGAAGAACAACCAATACGCTTCCCAATTTGAATATACGGTCGCTGCTTTATTCTCTCCGGGTTCTTTTTTCGTTGTTTTAACGCGATGGGAAGCACAAAATCAAAAATAAAATATTGTTTTTGGTCAAATAAAATGGAAACGGAGCGAGAGAGTGAGAGAGAGAGGAGAGCAAATAAAAGAATAATACAGGGACACAATCAGTAATTAAGTATGTACCACTGTGTGACTCGATGAATTGGATGTGTTATGCGCCGCCATAATTTTACAACATAAAGCACACAGATCGTCAAATGATCGGCATTTTCTTCAAGTGTGTCACACTGATCGGTTTCGGTCATTGTTCAACGGTGTATTTTGAATGTGTTTTGCTATTCAAAATAGTCATGCGCACCGTTGTTTATCAATAAATTTTAAATAATAACTACAAACAACGGAAGATGTGTCTCGGTATGACGTGAATAATTGTGTGGGATGCATATCATCATCATAGAATTTCATAGAAATATGACACCAAATCGAAACATTGGAAATCAAACAATAAACTGGACATTTTCTGTATGTTTTACTACATTTTTTTTTGGGTTCTTCTTGTTTTTTGCAGATCAACATTGGTGTTGGCATGCGCAATTTTATACGAATGTTCCTTTTACCGATCGATCTGACGATGACGTTGTTTGTTCAGTTTCCGATCATTCGCACGAGCAAGCAAACAATATGTTGCCCTTGATCATGCCGTCAAGTTGATCGATGTAAGACTGGTAGCCAACTGTGTGTATTTGAAAACTTTTCGAATGAAATGTGGCTATGTTTTGTGTGTGTAAACATAAATTAAACGTTACACACACTCGTTGTTCGGGCACACTTCATCGAAACGTATGCTCGTTCGCTTGTTCATTCATTCGTCGTATTGATCATGTGTGTGTGTGTGCTCCGTTTTGGTGGCTTCAAGCATCGGCAATTTTTTTTCCTTCACATTTGTGTGTGGCATACAAACGAACAGGCAACAAGAATAAAAAAAAAGCAACAACGATCCGAAACCCACCGTCCAAACAATTACCACATACTGAAAACTTCATAATGGATTTTATTACAAGCACGTTATCGCCTCAATTACTGCAACGTAATGCTTCTGTGCTTGAATATGTTCCGGTGTATCAGACATTCACTGGTTTAAATTACACGACGGAACCACGAGCATACACACACACACTCTATCCAATGGAATGGAGAGGCTACGGGAACGTGCCACCAATCAACGACACGAAACATTAGATTATGTTGTACAGCATAAGGTAAAGTGAACAGCACACCGCCGATGAATTTCATTATAATTTGTGTTACATTGTTCTAAATTGAGAGCGAAAAAAGACCCGACGAGAAACAGACTTAATGCAGACTAAGCGATCGCTTCACGAAAGAGAAAATTAAATGTAATTTTCTAATTAGAATAATAAAAAAAGGCGCCGAAAACATGCTTTTAGAGGAAAACCAGCCTTTATTTCAAGGGAAATTACATTGAAATTCCGAGAAAACTTTTTGCGGTGAAGAAAAGCCGAATGTGATGTTTCGTTTTGTTTCACGAAGAATGACGTGTGTACGTGTTATTACAACGCAAACAAAAGGAGTTAAGAACGATTCATGCATGAGTTGCGCATTGCGACGGCATATTTCAATACGCGCTATTGACTCAAAGCTCAAGTATCAAGGGCGGCGCAAACAACAGTAGCTCGGTATTAAGATGGAAAAATGCACGAAAAAAAGGTGAAAAAAAACGAAAAGCAACTCCATTGTTGATATCAAATTAACATTTGATTGGCTTAAATATTTACAGTAGCGATGAATGATTTTCTGTTCGATAAATGAACGTCGTTTCAAACCGAAATCCAATCGGTGTGCTCAATTATTTCGCCACGTTTAGCCACGAATTAACATAATAAAAAATAATTCGCATGTTTTTTTTTTTGCATCAATCGAAACAATTTCAATCGATGCGGTTAACGATAATCATCTTGAGTTTCATCATGCGGTTTTCACATTTCCAAAATTTACTTTCATAAAATGAGTTGATGACTCACTTAAATTTATTAGTCAAACGATCTCACCATTCCGTCGTTTGATATATAACAAGATTCAGATTTTGTGAAAGGCAAAACTAAAAGCTATAAAAACATGCAGCGTGTGTGATTATTCATGCAAAATCATAACGAATAAACTATTTCAATATATTTTTTTGTTGATCTCTTTTCTTTCGTACAAAATGTTAATTTAAAAAGTGTGTACTAAATTTAAGGAAATTGGTACTTACATATCACTGTGATTTTTTTTTAAATGATGAAATCAATTTTCGGAAAATACGGCGAAAATGTAATAACGCAGCTGAATAATTCGGGTCGGGATGATAAAAAAATCCGTTGAAATTTCGAAAATAAATCGCGTTGTGTTGTTTTATTTTTATTTATTTTTTGGTGAAAAAGTTCAAAAATGTATAATCGAAATTTATTATTTAATAATACACTCGAATAAACTTTATTTAAAAAACCACACTCGAATAAACTTCTGCACGCTTCTGTGCACAATTAACTACTGCTTTGCTATAACTGCTAATAACTCTGTGTTGCCTCTGTCTTTAACTTTCGACTCGACAAAAATGATACTGAATTAATCAATGTAAAAGAGTACACAACATATAAAATATAATTTAATAAAAATCTATATATATATGCGTATATCTCTCTATATAAACGCCAATAATAACAACAACAATGATTACAACACGGACAGAGAGATTATTGGACTGCGCGCTAGATGTGGAATGAATGAATGGTGAGTAACAGAAGTCAAGACTTGGCAAGTAGCCGAACTGGAAACTGCTGAACGTTCTACTGTGTTTTAAACAACAGCAGCCGTAGCATATAGCTGTGCGGCAGCGACAACGGTAAGAGAGCACTTTCCACGCATATAAAACTCATGCATGTATATATCTATCTCGCAGTCGACCGTCTTCGTCGTTGTCGTTATTGTTGTTGTTGTTGTTGTCCGTTGTTCTTTGTCGTTGGTGTATATATATAGATATATAAAAAGAGACGATTATGGTTCGTAAACGAAATATGAATAAAAAGCGATCACAAGTAGCGCACTATGTGAAATGTGAGCTTCTCGTAGCCCGAAGACCCCTGACGATTTTTTCTCTTTCATCTTGTGTGCGTGTTGTCGTTGTCTATTTCATTTGTTTCACTTTATACGATGTCGCTTTGAAATATATGTGTATTTGAAAATACCCCCACCAAAAAAAAACACACATTGGAGTTTTGTTTTTTTTTTATTTGTTTTATTCGGTTTTCGTTCGTTCAATTGTTTCAGTTTTTTTGTTGTGTAGTTGTAGTCTTCGTATTCTCTCGTTGTTTTTCTTCTCTTCCTTCAGTGTGTATTGATTGCCTTTTTTTCGGGGTCCGTTGTTTATTTGCAAGCGACAGAAGAATTTATTTTAGCCAGAACAAGTTCACATAGATACGAAACGGAATGCATTCGACTGTGTATGAGTTGTTTTTTTTTTTTAACCATTTATAGCATGCATCTCAATGGATTAATGGTAACATTTGTGACGTGTAGCTCAGCTGCCGAATGAAGTAGTTTTGGTAGTTTGAGAGCAGCGAATGCGCTAGCGACAAACTCCGCCCCATTCGCTTCATGCATCCGCACACAGCACAGCGAGCCAAAACACCTAAATGAATCGATTGATCCATGCGTTTAGATAACGTGTGATCAGTGTTGTCTGCATGCGGCTTGACTCCACCTAAATAAATTGCCGAGCTGCAACCAACAAAAAAAAACATACACACACACATACCACCACGACAACGACGACAATAAAAAGCAACGGGCTACAAAACACACGATGAAAATATCTATTTAACTTTATGGTTTATCTTTGGTGCTTTACTGGCGCATTTTGACCGTTTGTTTTCAATGTATTTGTATATTTGGCTTTTATATACTCATCTCTCTTATTGATCACTTGTGTATGATCATATATATGGAATTCCTGGGCTCTGTTGACTACTAAATTACGTACAACCCATTTGTGTGTGCTTTCCAGCACGTTTTCGTGAATGAACATTGTGCGAACGCATGCCGTCCAATTTCATACGATTCTATTTATTTTATTAGACGAGATGGAGAAAAAAACGAAGAGAAACTGACATAAACCGTACCTACCTTCATTAAGACGATCGATTTTTTTCAAATTCTATTTTGTAATGAAATTTCCACTCGCATCAGAATAGAACATTTCAATTTATACATGATATGTAATTAAGCATGAATTCTATATATAAAGTATTTTTTTATTTTTTTCCATTTTTCATTCGTGGCCTTTTCAAACAAACCTAAATCATAATTTAATTTAAAGCTCAATCAATGTACGAGATAAATGAGTGAAATTGAAATGATTACAGCAGGAAAAAAACGTATGTATTACACCATGTTTTATGTTTAGATTGACTTGTTCTTAGCTTCCAATTTCTGTAAATTATGATTCATGCACATTTTGTTTTAGCATACAGTTTTTTTTTTTCATTCGTGCTCTGCTGCATTTGTTGTTTCCATTAATTTTCACTCTCTGATACGAAACGGAATGCAGATGAAATAAAAATAAATACGAATATCTTTGAAAGATTTGTATAAATGAGCTTGAAAACTGTGGTCAAATTTCACTTGACGCAGTGCAAAAAGTGGTAAAAAGCGGAAAAAAGGTAACGAATCCAATCGACAATCGCAATAAATACGTTTTGCGCATTTTTCGAGGCGAACGAAAAATGTGAGATGTGGAGAGAAAAGGCAAATTAAGCTCAAAACACTCACCGTACCGGATAATATAGCAATGATACACATGGTCAGAGCAAAATAAGACGAAGAACAAGAAAAAAAAAAAAACCAACAACGCGTATGGAACTATATGTTTAAGAGGCGGCTTTTCCAAAAAGATCCCCTGCTGAAATTAACCAACGCTTTTGATTAAACAACATTCATTCAGTGAAGAGAAGAGAAAAAAATGAGCCAACGACGATGAATATAATTTGCTCTTTCACAATATGATCATCGCGATGTTGAAGAAAAGTCCATCGATTTTTTTTGTTTCGTTTATTTTTCATTTCGAATTATATAAAATACATCACGTTTAACACAAGTAATTAAACTTTCAAATGCCTTTTTTCCATTCGATTTTCAATCACAAACAGAAGTTGAGCAAAATATATTGGTTTTTTCTTGGTGGATTCAGAAAAGAGAGAAAAAAGTCGTCGAAACAAGGGTTTCGTGGCGTTGACTGAACAATCAAGCGGCGGCAAAAGCGAAGAAGAAGAAGGAACAACACAAAAAAGGAGCTGAATAATTAATTACGAATTTAACCAAGAATATCGAAATAAATTATTAACAAATTAACAATATCTACATTCATAATATTTTTAATAAGCTCCAAATCAGAAATATCAAACAAGCGACCAGAACGAAATGAAATTATCGAATAACGATGATCAGCATGTTAATTTTTTTTATTTCATTTGTCGTATCGTTCTCATGGATGCCATTCAGCCAAAAGTGCGCGATCATGAGACACAATTCTTTGTTTGCATTTCATCTCTCTCTCTCTCTCTTTCTCTCTGCCTCTCTGCGTTCTTATTAACAGATTATGTGTTGAGTCGTTTTTTTTTAATTCATACAGTTTTGGATTCTTCAAGCACACCGCATTATTCAAACACAAAAAAAACACTGCATATTATAGACATAAATAAGACACATTTCGCTTTTTGTAGATTAAAGCGTGCTGTGAATTTTTTTCATCCATAGAACATATACATCAAATTAAAGGTAATATTATATCTATTTAATGACAATGATCATTCTTCATGTGTATCGATGTCCAAAATTGGCATCGAATCCTTTACAATCATGTTCGACACATTTGCAAAAGAGGGTAAGCAAACCGAACCGATCGTTTGACGTATTAAATTGATTGTGCGCGCCATTGCTGTGGTAGGAAGCATCGGCGTGCCCAAAAATCATGCTCTACCATGATGTGGCATGAACGAAACAATAAAAAAAATAGCGTCGCCGTGCATGATGAACTTGATATTCTGAAACCGATGACAGTTTTTGGAATTGTTTTTGATTAATGTCTTCCGTAAAAGAGTCAAAACACAAAATACATAAATAATAACATGAAAATTTAGTGGTTTTTCAATGTTGTATCGCATTTTGTATAAAACAAAAAAAAATCTCCAATCTCATATGTATTTATTTCGATTGTGTGTCCCACACGCACGCACGCACACACTCAATTTTTACAAATTTTAAAGGTTTTTGTGGTAAAAACAATGTTTCGCTGATGGTGCGTTGGAATACGATGTGCCATCCCAACTTGGTCACATTCATAATGCTTATGCAGCTCGCTTCCATTTGATTTAATCATTAATACACATGTTCGTCAGCTTTTTAGTGTCGGCATTTTTACTGTAACGCCAAACTGAAACACATGAAAAAGGCACGACAGAGTGAGGCAGAGAGAAAGAGATATAGACACCAGCACATATACACCGAAAACAAAACAAAACAAAAAAAAATTATTTATTTGGCTACAATCATTTATAATGACCAGTTTTATTCTTTTACGATTTTATGATTATTGCTCGTAGCAAGGCGTGGACATTTTTTCTCTCTGGTTATTGTTGTTGTTGATCCAGTAGATAGATCGATGTAGATAAAATCGAACCGCAGATGAAGTAGCCACATCTTTTGATAGAAACAAAAAGCTATTTAATCATAAATGGAAGATTGATGATGACCAGTCTTCGGATCGCCGCTTTAGTATAAAGTAATGGTTAAAACAACGATAAGCGGCAAGTGTTTGTGATACCTCGGTTGTAGATGGATAAATTCAAACAAACACGAACAACAGCACGGATAATAAACTTGTTCGAATTGTATGACTCTCTCGAAATCAAACGTTTTTTTTTGCTTCACAAAAACGTCGGTGCAGAAGTTTGTTCGATGCTTAATGATAATAATTTTTTTATGCATAATCTTTCACAAGTTGAACCAATAAAGAGAGAAAATATTTGAGGATCTGTATGAAACAGTATTCAGAGCAATTTATAGATAGTAATCTAAAAAGATAAATGTGTAGTAAGAAGCAAGAAGGCAGAAAAAATGCCACATTTGAAGTGCAAAATGACTGATATCTTAGAGTCATAAATGAGCTACACAGTTTCCAAAAAAGCGCCAACCTAATGAGGACTAATTAAAAACAAAACGTCTACTCATTTGCTCAAATACAAGCCATGGCATAGTTTATTTTCTCCATTTCGAAAAAAAGAAAAATTGGCTGTTCAAACACAAACTTGGCTACTGCAATAAAATTTATGACGGAATTTTCAAAATTTTTCTCACTTAATTGACATCAATTTAGCTGTTTTCCATTCCATCGTGCAATAAAACTTTTATCGAATGCGTTCGCACCGTGAAGCAATCGCACGTCTTTTGATTAAAACCATGGATATGTCGTAAAACTCAAACGAAAATACTTTTCGCATACAATTTTTTTCTTCGTGTTCGTCTTCTGTTGATAAGATGAAAAAAAAAGAAGCGAGGAAAACTTTGTACTGCACTTCAATGTTCGGTTTTACTTTTCCGCACACACCTAGTGTGAAAGGGGAAAGTATTGCAATAGGTCAAAATTTACGAAACCTCAAAAACATGTTTTCTGGACGTTTCTGAGGTCAGAGAACCCGAATCAGGCCGTTTTGAGCATGGTTGTTGTGGGTCGCTTCCACGTCGTACGTCGTACGTCGTACGTCGTACGTCGTACGTCGTACGTCGTACGTTGTCCGCCGTACGCAAAATTTGTCCATCGATTATCTCAC